TATAATTCTTCTAGCCTTTGCTTGTGTCTCTTTATATTTAATCAAATTCTGAAAATTATGGGTTCTTCTTAATACTTCTTCTTTATTCCGTTCTTTCACTATTTTCCCACATTCTTTTGTCCACCAGGGAACTGCCTTTCTTTTCATTTTACTTTTAGGAATCGATTCTTTGGCAACTTGTAATATTGTTGTTGTAATACTTTTATCAATCTCTTCTATTTTCTCATTTAGATCTATTTTGTCCATTTCTATCTCACACAAATATTTAAATCTTTCCCATTTTGCACTACTAAATATCCACTTCCCCACTAATTCCCTTTGATCCTTATTTGTTTCCAATAGAACACTACACCATACTGGAAAATGATCAATACCTACCGATGAATCTTCAGAAAGATCCCACTCACATATTCCCGCTAAATGCCTAGAAACTAAAGTTAAATCTAATGCTGAAATGTTCCCTGTATGTACATCTATTCTAGTCCCTCTCCCATCATTTAAACAAACCATGTTTCTCTCTTCTAACAGTTCTTCTATAACCTCACCATTTGCATCTGTTCTTATTCCTCCCCATAAAGTACTATGTGCATTAAAGTCACCACACACTACCACCTTATTACCACCCAATCCTACTATTTGTGTTATCTGTCCCAACTCTAATTTCCTACAAGGATTATAAGTTATAATTACACACTCTCCCTCATTCATCCATGTCACCACACTAACATACTCTTGTTCTTGTTCTTTCCCCCCTTCACTCAATTCTCTGAATGAAATATTGTTTCAAATAAATGTAGCACATCCTCCTCCTGCTCCATCTTCCCTATCACACCTTACAGAGGCATATCCATCTATCCTGAATTCTAAATTTGGTCTCAACCTAATGTCTGGTTTATTGGAAAGATCATCAATATACTTTTTAAACTCCTGTCCATTTGCCATCAAGCTCCTTGCATTCCATTGTAACAAGAGGACCATTATTAATACTATCCAGTCCCTACTTGCTCCTGGCTTGCTTGATTGCTTAGCTCATTCCTCACCTCCTCCCATGTCAGCTCCCTGATATCTAGGTGATGAACTGCCGCTTTAACAATTATTTGTATTCTGTCTGTTTTAGACTTACCCTCCACAGTTGCATTTATCACCCCTGCTATTAAAGTGACTAACTTCTTTAGATCAACTGTTACTATCCCCTCCTTTGCCTGATCTGGTACTTTTGTATTTTGTATTTCAACTCTGTTTATTTCATCACTCTTACTGACCATTTTCACATCTTCTGCATATGAGATCTTATTTTGAATTTTAGCTCATTGTACTTCTATTTCCCTTCTCATCACCTCACAGCCACCGTAAGCCACACTATGACTACCCCCACAATTACAACACTTTTGTTGCTCATGATTACAATGACCATACTCATGATCTTCACCACATCTTGCACACCTTCTGCCTTTACATGTCATTGATGTATATCAAAACCTTTGACAGTTATAACACCTCATTGGCTTTGGAACATACTCTCTTACACTATAACTCATAAATCCTAGTGTTACGTTCTTTGGGAGCACTTCCTCCTCAAACTCCAGAATCACAAGCTCACTGTCCTTCCTCATTCCCTCCTGAGTTATCTGCATCGTTCGAGCACCTTTTAGATATCCTCCTCTAAGATTTGCTTTAATTTCCTCTATAGTATCCCCGACTGGTACCCCCCATATCACTCCCTTACTCCACATGTTTCTGTAAGGACTTTTGCCAGGCGACTCAACCTCCTCCCACACACACATTCATCCACTTACTCCATTGAGTATCAAGTTACAAGATTTTATGACACATTGGAATATAACAGGAGTGGGTCTCTGAACAAAGATACGGACATTTCTGTTTAAATACATAAAACCATTAAGTATATTTTGTTAAATGTATGCGTTTTCCCCATGTCACCGTGAAATATCTTTGTTTGTTCGCGGCATAAAGAGGAATTAGAAATACCTTCTTTATGCATTTTAAACATAAGTGTATATTCCTTTAATGTAACATAATGTTCCTTGATGTCTCCAGAATGCTTATTGAATGAAATATCTAAATATGCACAGAGATATAAAGTAAAGTGTATTTTTAATATGTTTTACTGCCATTGAAGATCACACTGTTAAACTATAAAACCCTCCTTGAACACAGCCCCTCCCACGAGGAGCGCGTGCTCTGAGAACAAAGGACAATAAACCGAGAGTTCCCGCGTGCAACGTCTATTCCCCCGATTGGCTCCAGCCAACAGGAAGGGGATGGATTTCTCCAAGGTAATAAATGAAGGAGCGCGGCTCCACCCACCCTCTTGCTGAAAACCTATAGTGTCAAGCAACATGTAACTCTTGTGATCTCCTCACGGAGATCAGGTCCAAAACCTGGATCCTTTCTTTTGTTCGTCTAAAGTTCGTCTCTTCTTTAAGTTTACTAGCAAGTTCGCCTCCCAGGAAAGTAAGCGGACTTTGCTGAACTATTTCCTCGGGTAACGTCACCTCAAAGACGTCCAACCGCTGTTCAAAGACTCGTGCTGCATCATGTGACTTCCCAGGGAACAAAGGAGCCACGCGCACGCAACTAACCATGCACGCGCCGGGACGGGCCATGCAAGAACGCCGCGGCAGCGCTCCACGTGATGCGCGCACGCAGGACAGCACCTCCAGTCATCACGCGGCTCGAACGGGCCGAGCAAGGAGCCCGCCGTGACTCACACAGACCAAATTTGTTTTGCAAGTATACCTTCTTTTAGCGCTTCTAAGAAGCATTAAGAATGTGTTTTCGAGGTGTGTCAGAAAGGTTGACTGTCTGGGGAAATGTAACCCTGTCTCTCAAAACTCTCTCTCCCTCTACATTCTCTCTCTCTCTCCCGCCAACTCAATTTACACGTGTTCCATTGTCTAAACGCCCAGCGTCGTCTTAGTTTGTGTTTTAATGTTTGTAAATACACGTATCATTGTAACGTAGAAAATGTTTAAGTAGTTGCCTTATTAAATGCAATATATTAAATTTTGTTTGGAATACTGCCTCTTTGCTCATTTCCCAAGTCCCTGAAATGTCGATCATAAGCTAGCTAAGTTATTCAAAGATACCTTAAAAGGGTATGTTTTTATAGAGTAGGAAAACTAATTCTTGTGGCCACAGAATTTGTTTTCACAAACTCTATAAATTAATTGAGCTAATTAATTTTACTTGTCTTGTAAAACGTGGTCCGTGTAATTAATTACAATTAATTTGTGGTTAATTGCAGAGACACACATGGATGCATGCAGGTAAAATTTACAAAGCTTCCCTCAAAGGGAGATTTATTACATGCAAGACTGGTCTGATCCAAATCTGTATGAATAATTATTAATTATCAATTATTAATTATGATGTGCAAATTCCCCATTGATCGGACCACCTTGTGTCTTTACATTTCCTTTTTCAATTTGACTTGTACTTATTACTTTACACTTTCCAATCTCTTTAATTCTTCCAGCCCGCTCTCTTTGTTCTTCATTTTTACATCCGATCATTAGATTACCATCTCTCAACACCTTGGCTACTACAATATCGCCGATCTGGTTTTTCAATACAGTTGTTAATTTCACTGGACTTATTGACGAAACTCCCCTCTCCTCACCAAATCTCAATATGATTTTAAACTCTAGTCCTTCCGTACCTTTATCTTTTATTACTTTCCCATAATCCTCATTACTCCTTGCCCTCTTTGTACTGCTCCCAGCAAAAGTATTTCCTCTTTTGTCCCTCTTTTTCTCACCTTCCTGACTTACATCCATACCTCCCTCACTATCACCCTTATCAGTGTCCCTCCCCTCAGACTCTGACCCATTCTCAAAACAGTTGTGCCTACCCGTTGCCTTCTTCATCTTCTTCATTTTAAGTTGACCTTTTTCCAAAGTCCCACTTCCAGACACTCCTTTTTTCCAGGATCATCCGTAAGTTCTTGCTTAAACGTTTGAACCATTCGCCCAAGCTCGCTAAGTTCCAGTGTAGCTTCACTTCCGACTCTGTCCGTACTTGGAGGCTAGTTCGGATAGCCTACCTGCTAACCAGCCGACTGTGTGCTGTGTGGCTGTAAGTCAGTTGTAGTCTGTAAAGTGGACACATGAGCAGTGTTCATTTTACTCTGGGGATTTTGTTGTGTGTGGTTCAGATTATAAACCAAGGGTTCTCATCTGTGGCCCTCAAGATCCACTTTCCTGCAGAGTTTAACCCTGATCAGACTCACCCGCCGGCAACTTTCTAGTAATCCAGATGACTGTGATTAGTTTGTTTAGGTGTATTTGATAAGGGTTTGAGCTAAACTCGGCCAGAAAGTGGATCTGCGCTGAGTCCTGCTGGAGCTGCTCTAAATATGTGCTGTGCAATTAAATGAAAGATCAAATATAGTAGAGCAATAGAATGAACAGTTAAATTAACAGAACCTCTCAAAATACATTTGTGATAAAGCTCAGGTTCTGGGTGAAGTGTGGGTGATGGAAGGAGACACAGGGTCGGCGATATCTGGGGCTCGTGCACTTTTATTTTTACTCTCCCCACAGCGCACTCGGCGCTCACAATAACTTAACTCAGAAACAAATCATAAACAGAAAGTAAATATGCAATAGAACTCTTCCCGCTGGCTACAGCTTCGCGTTCGGCTCAGTCTCAATGAATAGGCGACTTGTCGTGTCGTGTCTGGTCGGTCCGTGCACGAGCTCCCAGTCTCTCTCAATGGTGCTGTCTGCCCGGGCTGCTTATATGCGGTCTCCTCACGCCAATTACTGCAATCACAGACAGGTGTTCGTCATTTGAACTTGACCCGCTTACTCACCGCCTGGCTCCACCCCCGCTCTCCCGCTGCAGATCTCGCCAAACCACGCACCCCTCGCCACAACATTTTAACATGCTTAAGCATGAAAATAACTGAAGGTAATATATATTTACAAAAAACATTAAGCCAACTAATATTGCTGTTTATTTTGTTCGCCACACAGGTTACATCACTGTAAACTCACTGTTCAAACTTGTGAGAGTTTATCATCAGTTCTTCAATCCTCAAACACCGTCCTGAGAGAGCTGGACCTGAGTAACAATGACCTGCAGGATTCAGGAGTGAAGCTGCTTTCTGATGGACTGAAGAGTCCAAACTGTCAGCTACAGATACTGAGGTAAATGGGTTTCCATTAGGGGTGTAACAATTCGTTTTAACAACGATTCGATTCGTATCACGATTCAAGGACGATATTGGTTCATTTAGAATGATACAATCCGAAATGATTCAGTGACTTGAAATCGATTCAGTAACTTTTTAGCCAAAAAAATCAACCAGTTTGACTAAAATAAATACCTGAATTTATTTATTTATTGTAAGGTTATTAATATTATTAACCTGGTTAATTTAGAATTTCTCTAAAATTTCCAAACACATTCCCGGAGAAAACATCTATGAACCTATTAATATTTATGATTTTTAAGTTTGAACATAAAACACATTTACAGATTTACCTACTGTGACATGAAAAATAGCTTAGAATTAAATAAAACCACTTTTCCTAAAGTAGAACAGTCTTCTTTTCAATTAATCAATTGCATTCTTTATAAATACTTGCATACATCATTCTTTTATTCTTTCAAGTAGACACATTTATTTGTATGAATTATATTTAATCCTTATTAAAGCTATTAACAAACAGTGAATGCTTTTCTCTTTTTCTTTTGTCGCTTGAATATTAAGGACACAGACCACGTTTGTTGTCACTGCCACATCATGTCCAATGACATGCGGATACAATTGTCATGTATTTGTCTCTTGTTTTTTGTGCAAGCACATGGCCGGTTGTTTTGGGCTATGTGTTTGCATTGTCTTGTGTTACCTCGTTTCCTTGTTAGTTTATGTTGTATCCGTGTCACCTGTGATTGTGATCATGTGTCCTTACCACACCCCTTGTTCCCTCATTAGTATTGATGTTCATCAGTGTCACCTGTACCTTTTGTGATTGTGTTCTATGTAAGCTTTCAGTGTTTGTTCCTCAGTGCTGGTTCGTCTTATTAACAGTCGGTTCTGTGAGTACTATGATCTGTCTGTGAATGTTCCAGTTATATTGTCAAGTCTGTTATTGTCTTATAGTTTCTGTTTGTTTGACCCATCATGGGTCTTTGTTTTCCGGTTATAAATAAACGGTGTTTTGAAAAAGTTTCTGTCTGCGCTTGGGTTCTATTTAGCGTTACGTTACAGAACGAACCAGCCAATTTTTGAACCGAGCAGACAATAGGCTATGTTTTGTTCCGCCAGTAGCCAGTTGGGTGACCAGGAGCGATGGTGGCAGTCGACCATCGAGGATATGAGGAGGGGCAAGATTCCGTTTCCTCCCTGGGGAGAGAGATCCCTGGAGAGATTTGCCCAGGGCCTAGAGGAGAAGAGAAATTTTACGCCGGAGGTCCTCCTAAACTCTTATTTCATCGCAGGGCTCAATGTACCTCCTCCGCTGGCTGAACGGCAGGGGCTGATCCGACGCCCGTTTCGAGAGGTAGTGGACCATGTGTGTCAAAAGGAGTGGCAGGACCCCACGAGGACATTGTCAGTTTCTGCATTGCCAGTGATCCCGGAGAGTCACGTCCTAGCCACGACAATGCTTGGCAACCACGTTCTCACCACTTCAACGTCTATGAAAGGTCCTTCAGCTTTTGCTACGGACATTCAGGGATCCTAGATCTGGCTATGGCTCCTGGACGCGGTCAATGAGGAGGAGGAAGAGATCGTCAGGATCACCATCTCAGTCCCTTCCTGGCTCTGTGCCGACTCTCCAGGTTGCTTCTGTCAGTCTGGCCCATGCTGAGGTAGATGAGAGAGTGACCATGTCCAGCCATGTCCCATCTATAAGTCCTGTCCATGCTGAGGTGGATGGGAGAGTGACCAAGAACAGTTCTTTCCCAGCTAAGGAGAATATGACTGTCCATGCTGAGCCATCTGTGGTATCCCCTGTCTCAGCTCCGTTGCAAGAGGCAACACCCCATGTTTTGGATTCTGTTTCGGCTCCTCTGCTTGCTGCAGCAACATCGGTTGTGTCCCCTGTTTTTTCCCCGATTACCCCTGTTCCGACATGTTCCTCCCAAGACTGTACCTCATGTGTCTCCACCCAGAACTGCCCGGTTTTCGTGTCCTCAATCAGTGCCCATGTCCAGTGAATCCAGGACTTTTGTTCCACCCACCCACTCTGGACCTCCACCTACCTACTCGGGACCTCCACCTACAAAAACGTTTGTTCCCCCACCCCCCCTCCCTCATGTGTTATTTTTATTGTGTCATCCCGATCCTACAGTTATGTTTTCTTGTTTGCCACTGTTGATGGTCGTTATGTTTTGTTGGTTTATGTCTGGTTTACAGTCTGTTATGTACCATGTGGAGCATCTGGTCGCCGCTCCGTAAGGAGGAGGTTATGTCATGTATTTGTCTCTTGTTTTTTGTGCAAGCACATGGCCAGTTGTTTTGGGCTATGTGTTTGCATTGTCTTGTGTTACAACATGACATCATGACTTTTGCGTAAACATATACGCCACTTTCACGCCAGGTGGCGTGTTATTTCTACGCATTTTGAGCTATCCGCGTGTATCCGTGTGTATGCGTATATGCCGACGCCATTAACGTCCGCGTCATTCCGCGTGTCTGTACGCGCAGTCAAATCTCCAGTCATAAATGCCAATAACCCCAGTGACGGTTAAGTTTAGGGATGGGGTTGAGGTAAGTCATATCTTTTTCTTTCCTAGGATGGTATGGGAACAGTCATAAATGCCATTAACCCCAGTGATGGTTAGGTTTAGTGACGGGGTTGAGGTAAGTCATATATTTATATAACGTTAAGTCAACGGCGTTCATAAACACGCTGAAAGGCGATTATGCGTCTTGATAGCACGCCAAAAATGGAAATACGAATTGGCGTGTCATACACACGCTATTTCATGAGATCAGTCTGTGTGTTACCTCGTTTCCCTGTTAGTTTATGTTGTATCCGTGTCACCTGTGATAGTCATCATGTGTCCTTACCACACCCCTTGTTCCCTCGTTAGTAATGATGTTCATCAGTGTCACCTGTACCTTTTGTGATTGTGTTCTATGTAAGCTTTCAGTGTTTGTTCCTCAGTGCTGGTTTGTCTTATTAACAGTCGGTTCTGTGAGTACTATGATCTGTCTGTGAATGTTCCAGTTATATTGTCAAGTCTGTTATTGTCTTATAGTTTCTGTTTGTTTGCTCCATCTTGGGTCTTTGTTTTCCGGTTATAAATAAATGGTGTTTTGAGAGTTTCTGTCTGCGCTTGGGTTCTATTTAGCGTAACGTGACAACAATTGCACTGATGCACTTTCTTCAAAACGCACATTTAGTGTTGTGTGTATTTGTCCATTCTGACACGAAAGAGAACTTAATTCATTACTCGTGAGCTGTATAGGTGTCTATGTGCATGGTTGGACGTTTGGGTCAGTCGGGTGTGAGCGCACCGAAATCATTTTTTGCATCGTTACTCTTATTCAGACCTATATGCATACTCTACTACTCATTCTCCCAGACGCTGACATATTTTAATGTTTTATGAGACTGCGGGGTAGATCAGCACGTTACAGTAGTACAAATGTGCGCATCTACCACACACGCAGGACATCAGTTCTGACTGGATCGCTTCCCAGATCGACACTATCTAACATTTTTGTCTAGTTTGTTTCGTCTAGATTCCTACAAACAGCGAGTGACTCATTTAGAACATCTCCGTCTTCACAAAAGCCAATGTGTTTTCACACACTGATCATTTCTCGCTCATCGACTTCTCCTTGTCATTCGCCATGCTATGTTGTCTTTGCGCTGCTGCTGCTGGTGCGTGGCGATAACGTCACAGATAGGCAGACTGAATCAAGTAACGTTTAACGCCTATATATTAAAACTAATGTTCTAAGAAAAAAACATCCATATAAAGGGCCAATCCCAATTCTACCCCTTACCCCTTCACTTTCCCCTTCCCCTCCGTTTTGCGTGTCCACGTGAAGGGGGTAGGGCTGTCCCAATTCTCTTTTGGTTGGAGGGGGAGGGCTAGGGGGAAGGGCCAGATAGCCCTTCAAACGAAGATTTTTCGGGAGCACACTTCAAATGAAGGGGTATGAGAAGTGTCACTGCTAACCCAGGCTACAGATGCAAAATGGCTGCCCAAGCGTCAAAGGAGACCCATAAATGTAAGTATTTGTGGCTTTAATAAGTATTGTAACGACAAATAATGATTTGCTTTATGTTACATTCAATATTGTGTTCATATTTACGGTCAGTTTCTTCACAGAAACGTTTGTAAAAAAATCGCTAAAATTACTGCAGTTTGCTAACAATAGTCCCACAACATATTTTCGTCGTCTCCGTTGTTTCCTGCGAACTTCGCGACTGAGATAACTGCAGCTGTTGACGGCATCTTGGAAGTTGTGATAAACATCGGCGCATCTCCTGTGACGTAGGCGTTAGCGACGACTTATAATGACGTTTAACTGAGGCGTAGTGGTGTCCCATTTCTTAGGGGAATATTTTCACCCCTACGCATTGCCACTCTGTTTCAAGGGTCAAGGGGAAGGCGAAGGGGTAGGGCTAGGGAAAAGTGAAGGGGTAAGGGGTAGAATTGGGATTGGCCCAAAGTCTGACGTGCTTAAATTCAATGCGTTATTTCCTAGTAACGATACAATAGATTGATTAACTTTTAAACCATTTTAGATCGATGTATGCCGTCTGGAAGGCCAACTAGCAGAGCACAGATTGTAGTTGGATCGTATGAATATAAATCGATGTAGTAGATGAATCGTTACACCCCTAGTTTCCATTAAACAATTAATACAAAAATATATATCTTTACAATTTTGTCAACAAATCTGAGACAATGCCAGAAGAAGAGACAAAATCATTTCCAGCATTATGGACATGACATTTGCAGTCAAAAAATAATGCATTCAATACCAATATTCATCTCCACACCAATTAACATCATCACTGGGGCTTGACCTTGCTACCTGCCCTCTGGTGCAAAAATCGTACTTTAACATCGATCTTCTCCAGGATGAGTCCACGCTTCAAAATCTCCAGTAATGTTCACTGCTCAGTGTTTATATAATCCACATTCAGAGTGTTAAAAAGAAACACTGAAGCAGTGTAGACATTGATAAGCTAATTAAGTTAAATTAAAAATGTCACTTCAGGGTTTCACCCTATGCCTAAACGTACTACTTAAACAGTACTTAAACTACTTACTACAGTAAAGGTGCCCTTTACCTTTACTGTTTCCTGCTGCTAAATCCAGGGTCACACTGTACGATTTTGGCCACGATTTGACTGTCAGAGACACATTTTTGAATCCTTGAAAAGATTCCTCTGCCCCTGGGTCAACATCTGAAATGTTTGATCATATTACAAGTAAATATAAGAAGAAATTCTGGCAGTGTGACTTTACACTGACAACCGTCAAACCAAAAACCATCAGGAGCGCAGAACCCCCCACTCAGATTTCTTTTTTTGAGAAAAGCTACGATCATAATTAATGCTATGATAATTAATGTTTTTGTTACTTTTAAGAATCTACAGAAAATAACAGCTGAAAGTACAAACTACGCAGGTCATTGTGTGAAAGAGACTGATGTGAATGCCAAGCTAATGTCATGTGGACTGTTGTTGTATGTCTTTGTAGATTGTCTGGCTGTATGGTGACAGAGGAAGGCTGTGGTTATGTGTCTTCAGCTCTGAGTTCAAACCCCTCACACCTGAGAGAGCTGGATCTGAGCTACAACCACCCAGGAGATTCAGGAGTCAAGCTGCTCTCTGATAAACTCAAGGATCCAAACTGCAGACTGGAAAAACTCAAGTATGTAAAGCCGGAAGGGTTCTGGTGAAATCACATTCATAAAAACATCATTACAATCCTCACTTATTACAAACTAGTTACATTTTATTATAGATTACATGACTACATTTAATAAAGTTCTTATTGAGAATGTACAGGGGTTTAGCTCTAGTTATACTACGTTGAACTATACTATGAACATTCAGAGGTGTGCAATTATTTTCAGTAAACGCACAGATAAAGTAGTTCCCTATCGAGGGAACTCCAACTGCGTCAAATGACACTTTGGGGGAAGCCCCTCAGCGTAGCGCGTCTGAAGCATGAATGAAAACTAAGCCAATCTCCGATTGGAGAGCGTAAATGACGTAATGTGTGACGACACATAAGCGGAAGCTATATAAGGACCCGGCACACATGAGATGTCAGCTCTCTGTTCTTCAGCAAGTGCTATCTGTTGTGTGAGTCTTATTTATTGTTGTCTGTCTGAGCCACAAAAGAGAAATATCATGGCGAGTGAAGCGAGTTTCAGGAGATGTGTGCACCCTTGCCCTCGTTTTATCACGGGTGGGGACACACATCAACTGTGCACGCACTGTTTAGGGATGCAGGACACGCAGGCAGCTCTCGAGGGGGCTGCTTGCGAGCATTGTGAGAGATTAACGCTCCGCGTGCTGCTCCCGGCTGGCCATTTTCAATGATGATGGCCAGCCTCGCAAGCCCCGTGGTGCGGGACCCGCGCTCGCTGAGGCGGCGTGGCGACGCTCTTCATCGGGCTCGCAAATGGATCTGTCCAGGGATCTCGAGGCTGCTGAGGCACCTTCTCGGGAATTCCTCGGGCAGTTCCGATGTTCTCGATCCTGATCCAGATGAGGACCCGATGCTTGAGCTGTCTGCCTCTGAGGAGGTGGATGTGCTCAGCATCAAGGGCGGGAATTTCGGGGTTGACTCCCCCCCCCCCGTGTTCCCGCGTATGAGGAGCTGGTTGAGGTTGTTTCTCGTGCGTTGGCTCGTCTTAATATCAGTTGGCCAAAAGAAAAACAGGAAGCACAGTCTAAAAGCAAACTTGATGAGCGTTTCCTGAAGCACAGAGAGCAACCTCATAACCGGGGCTTACCGTTTTTTCCTGATTTACATAACGAGTTATGTAAATCATGGAATAAACCACACTCTTCTCGTGTTTCCAACCCCCCTGTTTTAAACTATAGTAACATCATTGGGGCACGAGAAAACGGTTATGGGGTGATGCCGCGGGTGGAGCAGCCTTTAGCAAATTATTTATCCCCTGAATCGGCATCATCCCTAAAAGCCCCGGTGCTGCCCACTAAGCCTTGCTGTGATACATCTTTGCTAGTGGGCAGGACTTATATGGCTGCGGGTCGGGCTAGTGCGAGTTTACATACCATCGCGCTGCTCCAAGCGTACCAGGCCGACCTTTTAAAAGACATCGATGAGGGCGAGGGTCCAACTCCGGCTGATGTTGCAGAGTTGAGGAAGGCCGTTGACTTGTCTCTCCGAGTCACCAAGGAGACGGCCCGTGCAATCGGCCGCTCCATGGCAGCAATGGTGGTCTCGGAGAGACATTTATGGTTGAATTTGTCGGGCATCAAGGAGAAAGACAGGGCTTTCCTCCTTGATGCTCCAATTTCGCCTTCTGGACTGTTCGGCGACGCCGTAAACACTGTTGTCGACAGATTCCAGGAGGCGAAAAAACAGTCAGCGGCCTTCAGACAATATCTCCCTCGCCGCGCGATGTCTAGAAAGTCTGCCCCAAGTGTGCAGCCGCAGCCACAGCCATCCACTAGCTCCTCATACAGACAGGCTCAAAAGGAGAGCGTCGCTTCTAGAGCCCCCCCTTCAACAGCATGGGGGCATAGACGACGCTCTCAGCCTAACCCTCAAGCGAAGCAGGGCGACCTGAGGGCCGTCCTGCAAGCGAAGAAGGCTAAGAGGTCCTAGCTGTGTTAGGACCTCTGCGGGCTGCCCCACCCGCGTTGGAGCGACTGAGACAGGGACACTTTCCTCCTTGATGCTCCAATTTCAGACAATATCTCCCTCGCCGCTCGATGTCTAGAAAGTCTGCCCCAAGTGTGCAGCCACAGCCATCCACTAGCTCCTCATACAGACAGGCTCAAAAGGAGAGCGTCGCTTCTAGAACCCCCCCTTCAACAGCATGGGGGCATAGACGACGCTCTCAGCCTAAGCCTCAAGCGAAGCAGGGCGACCTGAGGGCCGATTAACTGATTAACTGTGTGTGTTTTGTAGTGTGGATCATGGAGGAGAGATCAGGATTACAGCAGGACTACACAAATGTACGTCTACACACACACACACACACACACTCTCTCTCTCTCTCTCTCTCTCTCACACACACACACTCTCTCTCTCTCTCTCTCACACACACACACACTCTCTCTCACTCACAGACTCTCACATGCGTGCAGACACACACACACACACACACTCTCTCTCTCTCTCTCTCACACACACACACACACACACACTCTCTCTCTCTCACACACACACACACACACACACTCACTGTTGTGTTTTCTCTCCATCAGATCTTCTTCCGCTCACTCTGGATCTGAACACTGTGAATGAACGCCTCCATCTGTCTGAGGAGAACAGAGTGATTACTAACACTAGCACACTCCAGCTGTATCCTGAACATCCAGACAGATTTGATATGTATTCTCAGGTGTTGTGTAGAGAGAGTGTGTGTGGACGCTGTTACTGGGAGATTGAGTGGAGTGGGAGGGTGTTTATATCAGTGTCATATAAGAGCATCAGCAGGAAGGGATTGGGTGATGAGTGTGAGTTTGGATATAATGATCAGTCCTGGAGTTTGACCTGCTCTCCTGACAGATACACATTCAGACACAATAACATAGAGACTAAACTCCCTGTAGAGCCCATCAGCAGGAGAACAGGAGAGTGTGTGTGTGACAGGAGAACAGGAGAGTGTGTGTGTTACAGGAAAATAGGAGTGTATGTGGATCCCAGTGCAGGAACTCTGTCCTTCTACAGCGTCTCTGACACAACGAGCCTCATACACACAGTCCAGACCACATTCACACACACACTCTATCCTGGGTTTGCGGTTTATTATCCTGGATCAGTGAAACTGTGTTGATGATTGAGAACAGACTGTACCCATAATGCTTTGGGTGCCGCATGATAAAGCAGTCAGAGTGAGATGTTGTTGCGTCTCTTATTGTCTCTTGATTCCAGTAATAACAGCTGACCTGCTGTCAGTGAAATAAAGAGAAAGCCAGAAGAACAGGCAGTGACACACAGAGAAGAGAGAGGAAATATGAGACACAATGAGACTCACTGCAAACATGTCTGATGATACGAGCCAATCCAAGACTTTCACTTTCAGACATTCATAGATGTGTGTGTTAGGCTCCTCCCCTTCACTTCTGGATCCAGTTTAAAACACCATTACTTTGCTCTGGGTGATGTGTGTATTATTACAGACGGCTCTGTTGATATATAGTGTGTGTACTGGACTAAACCTGTTAGTGGCTGTTCTTCTTTTATTATTAGTTCTGCTTTATCTTTTGATTGTTCGTCTCTGTTGTGCAAATTCAAGAAATAAAACACTCTGAAAGATCATCTCAAAACACAGAGATGCGAAAGTTACAAGCAACAATTAAAGTCAAGTGTGTGTGTGTGTGTGTGTGTGTGTGTGTGTTTCTGAAGTGTGTAGCTTAGACAGTTTCCTCTGATAACAGATCTCTAGATTATAATGTGTGTTTTCTGCTTTGAAATGATGTGTATTGTGAAAAGCGCTGTACAAATAAATGTGAAGTGAATTAAAAGAGTTTTATCTTATAAATCTGTTGCTTCTTTCACACAGTTTCACATTTCTTCAATCTTCAATTGTTAAGGTGTAATTTCAACAATATTGTGTTACGATCTCTGTGTGTGAAAATACAAAAGTGAGGAAAACATTATTGAGAATAAAAGTCTTATTGTGCTTATATTCAACATTTACCATTAGCTTTTCTTTTACGATGTTTACTTTTGTTAAACCGCTGTTATTAATATTTTATGTAATATTAGTAGTATTAGTAGTCTGCTTATTTTAGGTAGGTGCCCAGACAGCAAACTGACATTGAATCAACGTGGAAACGACGTCTCTCATGACATTGAAACAACGTTGATTTGCTCATCGAATTAACGTTGAACCAACGTCAGACGCGGCATTCTTCAAAGCTAAATGAAATCGAAAATTGGTTTGCTTTCATAACGTTGAAACAACGCGTTGATTTCAAGTTGATTTTCCGTTAGTTTTGAAAGAATGACGCATCTGACGTTGGTTCAACGTTAATTCGATGAGCAAAACAATGTCAGATCAACGTTGTTTCGATGTCATATTTCCACATTGATTCAATGTCAGTTTGCTATCTGGGTGTTTATATGTCTCTATTTATTCCATACATCAAGATTTTCACATCCAGTGTTTTCTAGTAGTTAAAGCAACTTCCTGACTACAAACATGTCAAGTTTTAAAGCTCTCAGAGTTTGTGTGATTGATCTGCACTAGTTTTTATATCTTAACTCCCATACGGACAGGCTATATTTTAGTCCTTTTTTTTGGTTTTAGGGTGTATAAAAATATCTGTTAATTTAACAATCTTAGCATCAAAATATTATTAGCCAAGTATCCATTTCATATATGGGAGACCTTAGGGATGAGGAAAAACATTGTTGTGTTTAGTTCTACTTCCGGTAGGGGTCTCTCAAAAACTAAAGCACTTTTTGACCATTCGTCACTAGCCTAAAATGTTTATTAGTGCTTCACACTCCAGTCCAGCTGGTGGCGGTAATGCACCGAAAGTTGGTTTGCCAACCGCTATAAAACTCCATTAGAAGAAGAAGAAGGCGCGTCGTTGCGGAAATGACGTGATCCAGGCGGAAGTGACGAGCCGTTGTGATGGATGAGCCGCTGCTGCTGCTGTGATGCTCCTCTTCTGAAGGAAAGCTCATTTCTCCAGCAACATCCAGCATGAACTGATCGCTGCACGGACTGACAGCTGTGATTGTGAGTTCAGTCCTCCGTGTTTTATTGATTATATGATCTGTAGTCTGTCAGTTTATAATGAGACGCACGAGCAGCGCCTGTAGTTTATATCATCTGTGTTCAATAAGAATCTGTTTTAGCACTTCGACACAGAAATCTTCCTCTAAACACACATGAACATCTGATAGATTAGCAAACACATCACTGAATGATGATGTGACACACATGAGTGTGTGTTTTAATGACAAACTAAGTGTAATTATAGAAATATCTAATCAAAGTATTTATAATATTGGTAAAACTAAAGTGAGTTTTCATTAGTTAACATGAATTAACAATGAGCAGTACATCTGTTCATCTTTATGTTATTTGTATCATGTGTTAATACATTATTAAATCAACAGTTGCTTCAGTTAACATTATTTAATGGACCATTATTGAACAGTTGTGTTTTAAACTTATTAAAAGTGATGTTTTCTAACGAGATCTTATTGTAAAGTGTTACCAAAGTATTATTTCTGTTTTATTATATTTGTTCAGCCGAACCCCATTAATAATCTGACAGTGATTGAGCTGCTATGAGTGTTTAGAGCTGACGGAGGTGGTGTGTGTTTCTCAGGAGTGTGTGTGTGTGTGTGTGTGTGTGTGATGGCTGGGAAGGTGAAGTGGGTGACGGACATGGAGAAATCGGTGCTGATCAATAACTTTGAGAAGAGAGGATGGATCCAGGTGACGGACAGCGACGACTGGAACTTCTACTGGCAAGAGCTCGTTTCATTTCATCCGTTCACACTGACACTGCAAAGCTGAAGTACACACTGAAGCACTTGATCAGATCAGTGCTAGGGCTGAATCCAGTTTCACACACACACTACTGGTGTTCAGATGAACTGTTTGAGCCGTTCACGGTGGACTGTGGTCGTACGACTGTGTCCTGAGGGAAATACTACTGTGCTGTATGAGTGGGGGATTCACACATAAACTTGCTTTAAATATTTCACTGATGTTTTCAGACATTACAAACAAAGTCTGGAGGATTCGTGAACATTACTTTAAAAACATTTACTTACAATTTAAGACTTTTTTTAACATAATTTCCAAAACCTGTCCTAAAAAATCTCCTTAACGCAACAGTCTGAAAACATCAACACTGTTAGAATAGCAAACATTTCCACATCTTTAAAAATGGGTTATTAACAGTCATGCACATTTACTTTATAATGATATCAAATAATATTTATTTTTAAATTATTTTTTTGTGTGATTTCTCTCATTTCCCACAACCCCTTGCTCCTACAATTTACAATCTACAATTTTTATATAATTCAATGAAAATATATTTTTCAAAATGATATGACCTGAAAGATCATAATGTGTAGATTCTGTACATACATTTATACCTAAACTAATATTTTCTATTAATTAATTTAACATTTAATGAACTTCTGTTGTGGTGATGATACACAAGTTATGGATATGAGGTTGATTATTTCAGTAATGATAATAAGTATACTAGGCTTTTGTTAAAAACAGAATAATATTTTCAGGTTCAGATCAGTTTTATTTTGTAGTGCTTCAAAAATACACAATCAAAGAACAAAACAAAGAGTGGCAGGTTGTAGATCTGGAATAATGGCTTTAGTTAGTTCACCCAAAAATGAAAATTATGTCATTAATGAAACTGATCACTTAAAAACACACCTTACATGTATTTCCTATAGTAGTAACTATAAATCAAGCAGAATTACATGCAATTAACCCTCAACCAAATCCTGATCCTTTAAAAAAAAAAAACCCAGTAAGTACATGTGGTTAATTAATATTACTCAGTACTTCAATCTTTAATTTCACTTTAACACGGACAAATGCAAATAAAGTGTAACGAAAATAAAAATGATTAAACTGTAATAAAACTCACCCATTTGCGGATGTCTTTCTCCAATCCAGGCCAGTAGAATCTGCTGCTGATAGCTTCAAGTGTTTTCTCCATGCCACAATGACCCCCCTGATCACTGGCATGAAGGTTAACAAAAACAGAATTTGCCTCCTCTGGTGACGTCACCACTTTTGCCAAAGGTTTGCCTCGCTTGCGCCTGTGGCATATATAGTGAAGCACGCCATCTAATGTGGATAACACAAAGGCTCAGGTAACTTCCATTGTTTCATTCCACTTTCATGGTGTAAAATATTTGTATTATACATGTAAGAATACCCCTAACAATGTACCGCTACATCACAACATACTTTTATTATGAGGCGTCCTTCCTTATGTACATTACCACTGTTTCATTACTGTCCAGTGTGGCTTTTTTGTAAAGTTATGATCAAACCACTATGATCTTTTAACATAGTCATTTACATCTTTCAAGTGCTGCACCCTTAACAGAGTTAATGTTGTTTTGACCGAAAATTCAGTGATTTAACCAGTTTCTAAAATGTTAAAAGTGTGTTTTACACCACTACAAATGCTTAAATACAGCATGTCAGAAATTCATAGCTATTTTCAAGACCGTCAATATATTATAAAGCCTCTATACTTTAGCAACAACAGGTGCTTAGAAGTACTGGGGGGAAATTACATTACTGAGACACCTGATAAGTAGTTTTAGATAACAAATGAGTGAAATATTGAGAAATAGCTGATCCCACTCTCAGTCGGACACATAGTCAGGTGTTGAAGTTCTTCACATTACTTGGCCACACACACACACACACACACACACACACACACACAGAGTGTCTGAATTGCTTCTGATAAGCGTGGATGTTCAACACAGAGAAGCAGAGAGAGAAACATCTGAGTAAGAGACGAGAGGAGGTTAAGAAGGAGAGTCATAGATGGACCAGGAGAAGGCATAACTGTACGTTCACACCGCCACCGGCGAGAGCGTCAAAGTGGCCGGAAGTCATTCATTTTCATTGAGAGACGGCGAGAGCGGCGAGCAGAGTTGAAATCAGTTCAACTTTATGGTAATAAGCAATGACGTGGTTCGGCGGCAACCAATCGGAATGTAGAAGTACTCCGTTTGAGAGAATCCCGAGAACGCAGTCCTGTAAACTTTGGTTCTGGCCACATTAGTTCCCAAGCAAAATAGAGGAGGTTGATAATTTGAATTTGATAAGAGGGCACGCAACACTATTTATAGGCAAGATTTTCGTGCTAGAACACTTTTTTTAGCGAGAATGCAAATAATAGCACTTAACCATGGCTTAACCATAGCACTTAACCACGTATGGCTTTTAATTTGTTTATTTCGTTAGCAAACGTGTCACTATAATTTTAAAGTTATTTCCATCGATAAATTTTCGGCAAAAATAACGACTGACATGCTTGTTTGCTTTGTGGCCCCTTTAAATACCGTTTTAAAAAAGATCACGCATTCGATCTACGTCAGAGCATCCACGAATCTTTCCACGGCGTCGTTAACAGAGCGGCAAGAGCGAATTTTGCCGCTCTCGCCGGCGGCGGTGTGAACGTACAGTAAGAACAGGGCAGGAGTAAGGATGTGTGCCAGACTGCATCGTTATGTTTTTCCCCCCTTATGTGGAACCTATGAAAGGTTATTTATTGAACTGAACATATAAAAGGGTAATTGTAAATTTTTCTCTCAGATTTCAGACTGTTTCTCGGTCATTTTCTATTTATATGTCACATTCTGCCTTTTGTCAGGTGTTTTTCTTTTAGCAGACAGGAAAAGTCTGAATTTAGCGTAAAAACTCACAATTAATAATGTTTTATTCCTGGTGGGAAATAGCTTCCACAGGCCATTTAGGTTAGATTAGTTGTTGATCAAAGGCAGCAATGTTATGTTTCCATTTAACTCAAAGCTTCATGTACAGCTTTTACTGCACCGACTCCAGTACCACTTTTCCCACATGCAGAATATGCGGTCAGTGTAGGGCACAAACTAAGGGGGCACCGTCAACACCCATATGGGACCTATCAACACTCTGACACTCACAAAAAGCAGGTTCGGACTGTAGATTCAGGTAATGACTCATGCACTTGTAGATAGTATGATGTAAAGCTGCATACATTAAATAGTCAACAAGCAATTAGGGGTGAATGAAAGGAGACAAAAAAACTATGGATTTCATATTGTCTTCTGAAATAAACATAATGACAAACACTGAAACATAATGACAAACACTGCATTTGTCATAATGCCATTACTTTTTTTTTAATTCCACAACATTGTGCTTTTATTGAGTAGCCTATATGGTCATAATCAAGCGAGCACCTGTTTTGACAGACTGATTTCCATTTTCAGTTGGGATTTGTTATATTTTGATAGTTAGCTTATATAATCGGGGTTTTTCCCCTTATAACAAAATAAATAATTTTTGTTTTGTCAAGAAAAAAAATAAGACTGTGCAAACTGTAATACAGGTGTGTCCGTCAAACAAAGTAGGCTGTTTGACCTAGATGGAGTGTCCAAAAAAAAGGTACTTTAATAAATGCTTGTTATCAATTGTACACTGTCATCTGCTGCTCAATGCTCATCACAGCAACACTTTATGTGATGGGAATAGATCTAAATACTTCAAAAACATCTCACGATTCGTTAATCTCGATAGCTGTAAAAGTAAAAACCTATAATAGCCGTAGTAAAATTATTTGAAAGTTTCACATGTAATACTATTTCATATGCAAGCATGTCAGCCAATCACAGCAGAGGCCGGTTACACACAGCAGACACGCCCCTTCAAACAGACAGGCTAAAATCAGGCTAGGAAAAATGCCTTTTATTTCTAAATTATAACTATTTTTGATCTAAAAAAACATACTAACATTATAAGGGCAACCCAGGAAACATTATAAAATAATAAAAAAAAACATTCTAGGTGTGGCAGTACGAGTTAGTCTAATGAGCTGGTGTTCCCTTGGTCACTCCCCGTGTGAAGCTCCCTCCTATAAATAGCGCGTAATCCTTCTGACGCCCTCTCTGGCTCATCGGTGACCGGAAGTTGTGTTGTGCGTCCGGGTCCCTCTCTCCGTGTGTGCGTTGTTGCGCTAACAGGTAGGGTAGTGGCTTTGCTGTCTCCGTGCGAACATTGTTTCCTGCCGTCTTGCTTACTGGTATTATGTGGTTACTCCGGCCGGATGGACAAACTCTCATCTCGTCGTTCAATTCATTGAACCACTGAACACACTGCATTATCAGTGCCGTGGGCACTCGTCGAGCTTTCTCCCTCGGGTACGTCTGAACGATGGGTATGTATCTCAGATGACGTGGGATTTATATCTAGTTTCTTATTAATTGGGGGTTAATGGTAGTTTTTCTTTGTGTAGCTAACAGGAATGAGGCCAGTTTAGCCGGAGATCATCACTAGTTGCACAGGACCGATTCGCTGGCTGCTGTTTTGCTTTTGCCTATTTGCCTGACAACTATATCGTGCCTTTTTGCCTGTGTTTAAAGTGCTGTACATTTCCGTGTCTTATTTATGTCTCCATTTGCCACATGTGCTACTTTGCCCGGGCCACCGCCTCATTTGTGTAAATAGCATATCAGCGACTGGAGCTGATCGCTGTATGCTCGTCTGATCACGGCCACCGGGTAGTTACGGCTGTTTGGCCAAGAGTATGTGGCATTTGGTTCATGAGTGCTATTGTTTTTATGATACGTGACTAGCTCAAGGGGTTTGGGGCTTTATATTATAATTTTGTCGATGTAAGAAGTTTGTTTTTCTGTTTTTGTTTGTTTTGTGTTCTCTTCTCCGAGAGATGATTGTTTTAAACTGTTAAATTATTGAAATAAATAAATGCTGTGCTTTCAAAATTGAAAATTGTCTTTGGCTCTATTGTACACGAACCTGTGTGTCTTTAGCTGTTGGATTTATAGAGCTTGGGTAGAAAAATCATTGGTAACACTTTAAAATAATGGTCCGTAGTTAACAAGTAGCTATGCAGGAAGTAATAGGTAGTACTGCATTAACACCGAAGTTAATACTATTAACTAATATGGAAGCAATATTAACTAAGCATTAAGTAATAGGTAATTTAGTACAAAGGTAGTTCCTTGGTAGGTATTTGATTATTACTAAAGAAATGTATCCTCATTGAGAAATACTTGTGAACTAAGAAATAATAACCAATTAATTACTAATCACAAAAGTAACATGTCTAAAAAGTGAACAATTGTGGGGGTTTTATACTCTTAACATGGTCATAATATTTCAGAAGCATGTGCCTCAAATGGGTTCTTTGTGGAAACCAGTTTATTAAGTTTATACATCCCCCCAAATACATTAGCTAGGTTGAGATTGTGACCACTACTCTTGCCAGGATGGACGCATGTTCTCTGTTTATTTAAAACTTAAACATAAAATAATACTAATAATGACAGTTTTTAAAAAATAAACCTTAAATAATTAGGAAGTGATGCTGACACTCTCATGATTGGATTAGTTCACTATTATGAGCTCTATTGAATGTCAGTCACATATATCTCAGACTCCAAAGACCTATAACTTTATGTTACAGTAGCTGCCTGAGGAGGACTTCTCTTTAGGACATGAAAATAAACATTGATGTTCACTTGTCAAAAACAATTAGCTTCTTTAATGAAGAAATTGGCTGCATTTATGTTACGATAAGCCCAAAACCACATCTTCCAGATTACAGTGTTTGTTAGAATATTAGTGCCTCACAGAACCTGTACAGTATGTGTCAAATATAAAATTAAATAACTTGTATCATTTGTGAAAAACATGTTAACTCCTCAATAACTACTTAAGCGTTTCCTTGTCATCCCGCAGGAACTACTAGTGATGTGGTCCATTATTTTAAAGTGAAAAACATGTTAACTCCTAACTAACTAACTCCTAACGTTACCTTGTCATCCCGCAATGTTTACACAAGGTAACGCTTGTAGTTAGTTAGGAGTTAACATGTTTTTCACTTTAAAATCTAAAATCTAGGCAAATAATGAAAATGAAGGATGGACGTGGATTACCAGAAACAATTAATTCCGGGTTGACAAACCCGTTTTTGTTTATCAGTTGCAGTTATTAATCTGAAACAATACACTTGCTCATCGTTTTCAGTGACGTTGTGCAGTCTGAGGACGGCAGTTTTGTTTTGTCTGTCTTCAATGTATTCAACCTGGTCTTAATAATATATCTATATGTCAACCAATCCAATGTCAGTGAAAATGATTGACAGGCGGCGACACTGACTAAACAAAAAGTGTTTGTCCGAATCCACAAAAGTTTTGAAGAAATAAAGTAAGACTCAAGAGTTTTATAAGTAATAACACAGTTATGTGGCTCCTCACTTGTGTTGTGTAAAGTGTCAGGGGAAAATAAAGAGGATTCTCCAGTTGATAAATGAAAACTTATCATGAAATCTGCCGCTGGTTACAGCAATGCCACCCTGACTGAAGATGCCAATGAGAACAATGACATCTGTCAAGCTGACACTGCTGGAACAGTGGATATCAATAATGAGGATCATAGTTATGCAGATTCAACTGATATATGTGCAAAACATGACTGCTTTCAGGAAGATCACAGCTACACCTAGAGTCTCGAACAACAGGAAAAAGCTTAGAAGGCAATGCCACAACTCCAGGGGTTTCAAGATGTCACAACTCCTGGTTGAACAGGTTTAAGTTCAGAAGAAAATAACTCTACAGTCCTTCATGAAAATACATGTTTAAAGCAGTTTCAAATCAACTTCTGCTCAAGACAGTTCAAGTTCAGTGGAGGAACGAGCAACACCACATCGTCATCATTCATGGTTAGTAAATATAATACTACTACTATAATACTTCTACTATACTATAATACTACTTTATAAAACATAATGATAGATATAGATATAAAAGTGTTTTTGTAGGGGTTTTTTTATTTTTTAACAGATTTAAACAACAGCTTTCTGATTCCTCATATTTCTCTGTTCTCTCTTCATAGATAACCATATTCATCTCACAACCTTTATTACAACTCATTTAGATTAGGACAGTCACAATATCAGATTTTTCAGTACACGATTGTCATGGCCAAAATAGTTCATGATAAAAATATATTGTGATATCTATAGAAATCTTAGAAAAATAAATAATGTTATCAGTCAAAGTAAGCTTTATTTATTTTATTTGATGAATTTATTAATTTGACTAATAAATCACACAACTGTATACAAAAGGAAATGCTAACCATTTTAGTTTAGTACTAGCAGGGCTGGCAACTTTTGAGTTTAGCTTGTTGTGAGAATTATGGAGCGCAAAACAGTATTTTTTGTTTTAATTTTGTAATAAGATTGACAGAATGTGAAAGCCGAGACTTTGTTCATATCATAGTACCCTGCTCTGTGTCGTCTGTCGGTGTCAGTGTCTTTGCTCTGTGATTTTTCAGTGTGTGAGAATATGGTTGTGTGACGTGAGTAAGTGTGTGAACAGTGTCAATAGTGTGAGTCTCGCACTGAATGCCTGAGAGTTGGCAGCCCTGCCACAAGTCTAGACTAGTTATTATACTTTTCTCCACAAATCACAGAATCATTCGTCAAAAGGATCCGCATTTATATGCTGACCAAATGAACTTAACATTATCCTTACAAGGTAGAGAAACGCAGGGATTAAAGTTCTCCGTCGCTACGACGGATTTCCGTTAATTGCAGCGAGTCTATGACGGATATCCGTCAATTGCAGGGTTCCCGTCTGTCCTTATGTCTTAAATTAACTTTTCATAATTTTAAGGTCGTAAATAGGCGTTCATTTCGCAAACAGTGTGATAAATGTCTTAATTTTAGTTTAAATAGGTCTTAAATTAAGGAAAGACGATGTGTAATTCACCCTGCTGAGGAGGGATGTGATAAAGCCTGGAGTGGAGCGAAAGCACATTCCTCTCTCCACTCTCAGCATTCTGTAATCACTTTGCTTATGGTCCACTCCGGTTTTTCAACTCCCGCTCACGGAGAAACTGCTCCCTTTTCACTCAATCTTGTCAGGCGAGGCTACAGCTCGTTTGCTGCAGTCCCATGATAGAAAACAGAACGCGGGTCAGTATCGGTCGTTTCTCAATACGAAGTACGCAAACTTCGGACTTGAGTCCTTGGTAGTTCGGACTTGTCAAGTTCGACTCGGGAGAACAAACTCCCGAGGACGAGAGGACGCGAGTCCGGTTATTCTGCTAATGGAACAGCGCGTTCTTGATCGCGTCACTCAGCACGCGGCTACTCCGGTTATCGACTCTGCCTCTTTTCATCAACAATAAAACGAAATAAATTTAAAACACCACTCTGCCTCTTTTCATTTATAAATGAACATAATTATTATCATAAACATATAAATGGCCACACAAATGTGGTTCAGGCAACACACATTGATTATCATATAACAACACGAAATATAAAACACAAACCTGCTTCTTTTTGTTTTTCATTTTAAAAATATGAAACATTATTTATCATTAAAACTGACATTTAACAAACATACAGGTTTGTATTGTTTTATTGTATTATGCGTACAGATACAGTGAAGATAATGCATAGTAAAATACATATATAGAATATTTTATATATTTTAGAATATATAAAATTACACAACCCTGTCTCTTTTTGTTAAATGTCAGTTTTAATGATAATATCCTGTTCAAAAGAATAAGTAGCCTAATAGGTAGGCTATAATAAGCTATACAATGAGAAATAAAGCAAACAATTCAGTTAAACATAAGTCAGCTCTCTAATAGGCTACAAAGTTAAAGTTAAATAGCCTAAATAATAAAGTTATAAAACTTCACTTTGCCCTCAGCCAAAATGATTTGCCATGGAACAAACTATATATTAATATAGTTTAGCATTGTTTGGTCTCATAAGCAGGGACGTGCACAGGAATTTTGAGGGGCAGTTGCTCTGACCTGAAAAAAGGGCAACCCCCCCCCCCCCCCCCCCCTACTCTCCCCTCATGGGCAATATGAAGGAATATATTCAGTTGAATTTGTCACCTTCCAAATTGCCTTATCTGGCCGTGTTTATGTCCAAACGCAATGCCTCATCTTATGGTCTTATTATTATTTATAAATATTGCAAAATGTCAGAGATGAGACAAATGAGCAAAAGAGTTCCTCATATTGTTGTTTATTGTTTTTTAAATTATTATTATTTATTTATTTATTTGAAAAGAAATAATCTGGATTGAATGGAAAAACTCGAAAAATAAAAAACGCTTAGATTTCGGGAAAAAATACAATCCTTTTTTTGCCAATCCTGACCTCCCCCTGGGGCCCTAAGCAAAATTCTGCTAAGGGGCCCTCTACCTGATCTGTGATGCCGTGAGCCATGTAAACCATTTGCCATTGCCACTCAATACCGCCCAATCCTCCCTCCTTTAAACAAAACAGTCAAAGAATAAGTACAACAATATAGAACAGAATGAGGTTCAAACAATATTTACTGAATAAAGCATTTTTATAGAATGTTAAGATAACAAGTGAATATTAACGTAAACATAAATAAGAAGAAAATAATAAAGTACAACCCTGAACTTTGGCTTTTGGGATTAACTTTGATTCACTACAGCCTGGGTATTTTCGGAATCAGTAGTGTAGTGAAGATAATAGGTAGACACTCAGTCTATGTGCTAGTTCTGGATTTATCACCAAGTTCACTCAGGTGTGTCGGCCAGAACACCTCTTAAGGCCAAATGTTCCAGAGTATGAAATAAATAGTGGAGAAATAATTCTGATTCTGTTTCTTTATTCCTCTTTCTTGCAATTCTGTGAGTATTGGTGTGTGTGTGTGTGTGTGTGTGTGTGTGGTCCTATAAAGAGAGAAACAAATTACAAATGAATAAATCAAACATAGCTATGCATGCACTCATTCCTCTCTATGCACTAATATACATTACTAAACAAAAGCAAACAATAATCAGCATATAACTATACAGTATATCTCTTAAACTCTAATACTGTAAGAATAATATAAAGATCCTCAGATTTTCCATTATAAGTAAAATTCTAACATCACTTACTTCTTATAATACTCAACTACAAAGTACTGATCAATCCTAACAAATATAAAGGATAAACACATCTAAACACGATATACTATCTTTAACCTGACGTACTAAATCAGATGAGTCGAAGCTCTAACGTGAGATGTACAGTACTAACGCGAATATAATTAGCACCTCAGTCTCAAATCGACTCCTTAAACTCCCAACTCTTATCTACATCAAATAACAGAAATAACTAGTTTAACAAATAATATAATACCACAGTTTTACTTACTTTTTTCATTTACGCACACTCTGAGGGAAAGTGCAGCTCACACAACCAACTGACCAACCGACTATCTCTATCGTACTGCATACTAAGTATGTGATGTCAGATAGTATACAAACCAGCGCGCGCCTCAGCCACCGTTACAAGCGCTGAATCAACGGAAGTGAATGTGAAACATAAACCCTAATATGGTCAACTACACTAAATAACAGCAACACTAAAATAACTTTGGGGCCTTTTCTACAGCCGCCCCCGAATGTATGTAATACATTCGCTCATCAATAAAGGCAACAAAGTTCTATGGCTGGGGTGTAGTTGCAGGAGTGGAACCATCACCATCTTCTCCAGAAGGAAGTGCAGGGAGGACAACCAGCCTGGCAACTGGCCGTGTGTAGATTCTTTCCTTAACCTTTACATCAGCGGACCTGATGTGCCCGTCAGGGCTGGGATGAGTCTTGACCACTTTCCCAATGGGCCAGAGGGCCCTCGGAAGATGAGGATCAGCGATCATCACTACACAGTCCCCTGTAATATCAGGTGGTGTAGCCTGCCACTTCTGGCGAGCTTGGAGACTTGGCACATATAGCCGGATGAAACGGGCCCAAAAGTGGTCGGCCAAAACTTGGGAGTGTCTCCAACGGCGGCGACAGATGAGCTCACTTTCAGGGTAGACTACCTGAGGTAACGAACCATCAAGCCGCCCCATCAGAAGAACACTGGGAGTCACTGGATCTGGGTCGCTGGCATCTGAAGACACATATCCCAAGGGCTTACTGTTAAGGATCCCTTCAACCTCAGTAAGTACGGTGCGAAGCACTTCTTCCGGAACAGGTTGAGCACCGACTGTGGCATAGAGTGCACTCTTAACTGAGCGTATCTCCCTCTCCCACACCCCTCCGAAGTGAGGAGCGGCTGGAGGGTTAAAGCGGAAGGAGATCTTCTGTGGAGCAAGGAGATGTTGTAGTTCATTAGACATTCCAGCGAAGGTCTCACGTAGTTCTCGCTCACCTCCCTTGAAATTTGTTCCTTGATCGGAAAACAGCTCAGCAGGTGTTCCTCTACGGGAAATGAACCGACGAAGGGACATCAGAAAGGCATCCGTATCAATGGAGGTAAGGAGGTCCAAGTGCACCGCCCTCGTTGTGAGGCACTTGAAAATGATCCCCCATCTTTTCTCCCGGCGCCGGCCAACTTTGACCTCAAATGGCCCAAAGCAGTCCATCCCTGTAGAGTAGAAAGCCGGCTTGTAAAGACGCAGACGGGCTGATGGCAGGTCTGCCATTTTCGGCACTGCTGGTCTTCCCCTCCATCGCCGACAGTCAGCGCAGCTATACTGGTAGCGCCGGACAGCCTCACGCCCTCGCAGGATCCAGAAGGAGCGTCGAAGCTCTGCGAATACCCGCTCTGGGCCTGGGTGGAGGAGGCGATTGTCGAAGTCTTGGATCAAGAGCGTAGTTACTCGATGACCTGGGTCTAAGATGACTGGATGAAGAGTGGTCAGTTCTAGGCCTTCTGCTC